TCTCTCTCTCTCTCTCTCTCTCTCCCTCTCTCTCCTTCAAGCAAAGCGTATTTCCTCCCCTTATGGTTGCATGAGAGAACGCGAGACACCCTTTATCCACAACCTTAAAGTCGAATTTCTTGCTCTTATCGTTGCATGGGCAAAGTTGAGCACTTTTACGTCAACATAAAGTCGCGTTTTGGGGGAGAAACGAGTGTTGGGGAGAAGGTACGAGGCTTTCAAAAAAGAGATGAAAAAGGGGTGAGGGAGAAGCGAGGTATGATGTAAGAGGGAATCGAATAAAGAAGGAACGGTGACGAAGTAGAAGGAAAAAGAGGCTCCGTCTCAGTTCTAAAAACGGCGCGGGGAACGAAAGATAAGGAAACGAGGGAGCAAGAGGTTAATTAAGGTAGGGAGTCGTGAAGGATGGAGTATCGACTGCACAGCCCGACGTCACGTGTGCAGAGCGTTCGCCGAAATCGACCAATGATTCATATTTGGGTCAGACGGCCAACAGCCACTGTGCGAAAGACGGAGGATACGTAAGCGCCATTACATACACAGACGGCGTACTTGGAAAGGATCTAAACGTAAAAAATCAAGGGAAGAAGACTGGATTCCTACGGCCAGTTTGTTAAAATTGCGCGAGGTCCGACCCAGCTAATATTCATATTACGGACATGCATATACACTGAAATAAATGCATGTCTCACTATCTATTTGGTAGATATACATTCATCTATCTATTTATCCGCGGGGTAGGTATGTCTAGACTGACAGATAAGTATTTATTTCTGTGTTTATGCAGTAATGAATTATCATTGGGTCGGGCCTCGTACAATTTTATCAGCTCGGCCGCTAATCTTTCGTCTCTCTTAATTATATAAGGGTATCATTTGGCAGTCGCAAGGGGGCTTCTAATCATCACTTTATCTTCATTCTACCGGGCTTTATCTTCGGACAGGAATCCTTTTATGAGATAACATTTATGGCACATCTTGCTTCGTGCACAACAATGGCTCTCAAGATGGAAAGTCGCGGTGGCCTAAGGTGCCCTGGGCAGTTCCTGGAGATGCCGCAAGATTCCAGTAATTGAATTCAAAGTTATTTTCATTCTTCTGGCGAGTTTTAGGTTTGTCTTCTGGATATGTGACATTTGTTTGTTTTCTCTGGAGCGACAGAAATTCATGGAACGAGCGAGGAAGGGATTTTATGTAGAGGGAAGGATGAGGCGATTAAAGAAAGGTGTGTTGCAGAGAGGATTGCGTAAGTTTGGGGTGCGTTCACTAAGAAAAGTAGAAAAAGAAAAAGGAAAAGAAAAAAAATAGGGAATTACTGACCTACAGCATCGACGGGCCGTGAATTGACTTTTTATTTCGATCAACAATGTTAGAAACCAAGAGAAGATTTATGCACCTTAATGTTTTCCATTATCTGTGCATACGCCTATGGTGTATGTGGGCGTGAGACACATGTAATTTTGCATAGATAGATTACCCGGAATAATACTTGATCAATGAGAGTGATTAGGGATATGAGACCAAGGTAACGAGCTAATTAAGTTGAATGTCACTTGTTCATTAATTCATTTGGACAAAATACAGGATATGACAAAAAGATAAGATAGGTAAGAGAGAGAGAGAGAGAGAGAGAGAGAGAGAGAGAGAGAGAGAGAGAGAGAGAGAGAGAGAGAGAGAGAGAGAGAGAGAGAGAGACAGACAGACAGACAGACAGACAGACAGAGAAGAGAGAGAAAGACACACACACAAACACACACACACACACACACACAGAAAGAGAGAAGAGAAAAAGAGAGACAGAGAGAGAGAGAGAGACAGACAGACACACACACACACACACACAACACACACACACAGAAGATGAGACACGAGAGAGAGAGAGAGAGAGAGAGAGAGAGAGAGAGAGAGAGAGAGAGAGAGAGAGAGAGAGAGAGACAGACAGACACACACACACACACACATAGAGAGAGAGAGAGAGAGAGAGAGAGAGAGAGAGAGAGAGAGAGAGAGAGAGAGAGAGAGAGAAGGTAGTCTGCATTTGTTTCCAAAAGTCCTTCGCGTTTGCGTCGTCTCTGTTTGCCGACAATGCATCCTACAGAGATCAAGGATACGAGGAAAGAAAGGAAGTGAAAGGAAGAAAGAACATCTTCTGCCAAGGCTGATGAAGCGGAGATTTCCATTCTTGTAATTATCTTCATGTCTCCCTTTTTGTCCCTTCTTTCGCCTCCTTCGCTTGTTTCTTGGTCTTTGGATGTTCCTCCTGCATTCCGTTGGCAAATTTTGATTTTATTGATGCTTTGGTTAATTTGGTTCTCTGTCTATCTGGTTATCTGTCAGTTTGTATCTCTTTCTCTTTTCTCTTCTCTCTCTCTCTCTCTCTCTCTGTACTCTCTCTCCCTCTGTTTCTGTCTCTCTTTCTCTCTCCCTCCCCCCCCCCCCTCTCTCTCTCTCTGTCCTTCTGCTTCCCTGACTCCTCTGTGTCTCCATCCTTCTCTCTCTTT